GAATTCAAAAAAGTCGCTTAAATCAAGTTCAATCGGTAAAATAACCACACCAGGAGCAAACAACACATGTCTGGAATAAGGTAAGCCATTTTTACTCGATGCCATGTTGTGTTGCTTGTGTGGTTCATAGAGAGAGCTTGGGCTGCCTGTGCTCTAACCCATACGATATTTAGGACTGACAAGTGTTTACGATATTAACAATTAAAATATACTTTAATGACTCACACTAACACAAGTTACTTGAGAAGTATTATACACATTACATGTTAATTAAAGAAAATATTAATGTAGGTAAGTCTGTATGAAAGCCAAGTCGCCCATCAGGCCGGAGCTTAACTCTGTTCCCGTAATAAATTAAATTGAATTGACTAGGAGTATTTCTACTCCCCCCTTGGATGGGATGCTAGTCCATAGCAGGGTTACCCCCAGCATTGAATGCACCAGTACCCATTTATACACCTGGGTGAAGAGAGGTATGATGAGAGAAGTGTCTTGCCCAAGAACACAAAGTAATGACCCCCACATGGGCTCNGCCCCCCATGGGATGCTAGTCCATCGCGGTTACCCGCAGTTTTGAGTTCGTCGGTACCCATTTATACACCTGGGTGGAGAGAGGCATTGTCAGTCAGAGTAACGTGTCTTGCCCAAGTACATATCACAATGACCACGGCCAGGACTCGGACCCGGACCGCTCGATCCGGAGATAAGCGCCCTAACCACGAGGTTAGTAATTGTCAATTGGAGCCTTGCATTGAGGCCATAGGAATCGCAAGTTTTTCGAGTTAACCTCTAGTAGCCATGAAATCTTTTACGTTTTTCGTGTTTTGGGGAATTTTCGGTTCACCCGAGCGAAGGTACGTAACGGCCATTATAAACACATAGATTTAACACAACTTTGGAATATAATTAAACAGGCACGAAAAATCTCTGTACAAAACAAACACCACTGTTACTTAAAATATTTCTTCATAATGTGCAAACCGATTTTTATAAACACTGATTTCGCCATCTGCGAGACTTTAACCACGCTCATCTCGTACAATTCGATGCGACATGCAGAAATGGGTCAAATTCAAACTGTAATTTTGAAAAAGTGGGGCATTCTATTTCCGTTAAACCAACACAGCCTCAAAATAGATACACTAGAAAATGTCACTACCGCAAGATCTCCTTGGTGAAATATTCATGGCCGTCTGAACTTCCCTAATTTCGATGGTCTCCATGTTTTCCCTCCATTTTGAAAGATTCTTTATCATGAAGCATTGCCTCATCTTGTTTCACAGAGATATCAGCTAAAATGATCAAAAAGGCGAACGGCAAAATCATTGGTCATACATTGTATTTCAAGTAAAGGAAAACAACAAAAACAAAAACAGCTTTGGGTGCACGGGTCTTAACACACCCTGCATCTGTTTTTACACATGTAGCTTGATGTGTGCTCGAAATTTGCTCGATAATTCCACCTGAACTAGCCGTCGCTGACACCTAGACTTCGGCTCCATTTAGCGCAAGAATCCGCTTAAGGTATTAATGTCATTTTCCCTTTCCTTACTAAACAACAACGATGATTTTTTCACGAGAAGGAAAGTGAACATCCGCCGATGAAGAACCATGTTTACCTCGAGAAACAAAGCGCTGACCACACTCAGAGAGTGGTCCTGTTGGCTCCTGCGCGATTTTGATGGGTTCTTGGGTCCAGAAGGGTGGCTCGTTAGTGGGCTTTAGTACAATCTGAATTTTGAAATACTTTTTCTCTCAGTTTGAAGGTTGAGAAATCAGGATTTCAATGTATATATAATCGTAAAGCTAAAACTCAAACTGTCTCAAAGCCGTTCATCATCTTTTGAAAGCATAAGAGAAAGCTTGTTCTGAATAGAGGCGTGTGCTGTTAATTTCATTAATTTCGTACTTTGCGCCTTTTTCTCCTCAGTTGACCTCCTTGCATGCATTTCATTTAAAATATATGAATTGAAAGGCGTCATCCTTTATCGGTGAACAGCTGCAAATAAATCAAGTTGTTCGTGTGTTGCAAGAAGTGTAGTTCACCGTCTGTCTATATGATATGACACCTGTGTTTCATACCAAAGTGCCACTGAGCTAATGATCGAAAGCGAAATTGTTTATTCCAGGAAAGACCGTGCAGGAGTTTCTCGTGTAACAACAGTGGTAACGAAAACAGTGATAAGGTTCTGTGTGTGAATGCCTACAACTAGTGTTGGGGCTTTCTAATTGGTTGGAGATGTGGAAAAAATGAAGGGACAAAATCAAAAAAAAGAATTGCACAGGTGTGTTGGCCAACATAGGGAGAGTATTTACGACAACTCTACGGGAGTCTGGAATGAGAATTTTTCATCACTCACAGCCGCATCCTTATGAAAGAAAATGGTATCATTAGCACCAACCGGCCTTTTGCAATCCCCTTTCAAATTAACATTTGGGCTAGCCCGAGAAGGGTGGGTCATCCGCAAGCTAAAAGAAAGAGTAGCCAGGTTGATTCTCAGAAGAGGTGAGGCAATATCTGAAATCCAAGTCCAGAGTCTGTAATACCACTGGGAGGAAGAACGATCAGGCCAAGTTGACATTTGTGACTTCTGTGACTACTGCCTATGAAGGGGAATTTCACTTCGTTACAGTTTCCACACTCGAAGCCTTTTGCACGTTTTTCAATCTTTCTTTTAAAAAACAAGATTGCTTTGGTGTCTCGCGACATAAACACCAAAGCAATCTTGTTACCAAAAATGTAGGACATAATAGAAGTGAAAATTGGTAAAAGGGAGCATAATCGCTTCTGAGTTCGAACAGGGTCGTTCTCCAGACAAATTGACTCTCACTAAAATACGGGATTTGTTGCAGTCCGGGATGAGCTTTTTCCATTCGACCAGAAGTTCCCGTTCGAATTTCCAGAAACGTCCAGTGGGGAATGGAGCATGTAAGGAAAATAGGGAACCTCGCGAGGTTAATAGCTAAATTTGAATAATTCCCTTCTCGGAGTTTTGAGTGCCAAAGTTAGTTATAATACATACACTGAATGAATAGCAGGGAAGTCAACTGGGGAAAAAAGGCGCAAAGTACGAAAGCTTCCTCTTATGCTTTCAAAAGATGGTGAACGGCTTTGCATGTGACAGTTTGAGTTTTAGCTTTATGATAATATATAC